ACAATTCTGTAGGATTACAAACACTTCTACACAATGGAAATGTGAAACGTACGTATTCAGTGTCTCAGTTGAGATGGTGGTAAACAGATATTGATTTCCAGACTTTGCTCTCAGTAGTGGTCCAACACAGTCTACTATGACATGGTCATGTTCAAATGGCTGATCCACTACAGGAATAGGACATAATGGAGCTAAGTGTATCCCCTGATTTGGTTTACCAGCAGTATGGTAAACCAAATTGACAAAACTTTGAAACATCATGCTTCATACCAGGCTAAAAAAATGCTTTAATCAAACCCAGTACTTTTTTGTGACACACTTCCAGACCACTGGCATGACCACTGGCATGAGCCAGGGACAAGACTTTATGTTGGCATAACAATCTGTTTAACTGCACTTTCTGCAACTGATGGAGACCACTGATGCATTAAAACATCTTGTTTTACAATATAGGCTTGTTGGTCTTTATTGGGTTAATCAGCACTTACCACACGATTGAAACAGCTTTGTAATGTTTCGTCAGCTTGTAGGGCTGAGAACAAGTGTTTTCTGGTCAGGGGGAGCGATGTGTTCTTCAAGGCCCCTGAGGCTCCTCTGGCTCTACCTTATCTAGAAGTAACAAAACATTGTATTCCTCAGTTTAAAGTTTACCCTCCTCTGAAAATTAGGAAATCTGGAAGGAAGTCTGAAGAAGTCTGTGGTCTTCTGATTTAGGAGATTGTCTAAAACCTCCAGACATGGAAGTACTAAACTTCCAGCAATGTCATTCCTCATTAACATGGCCACACCATCTATTGGTAAGGCAGGGAAAATGGCAACAGGGAAAAATCCTGTAACTATGTCTGATTTTATATAGACTTTGTGAACTGGCCTGGGAACGTAGCCCAGCTCTATCCCATGCAGAACAGAGTTGAAACCACAGGTACTCTCTGCTGAAAAAGGTATGACGCTAGAGAGAATGACAATCTGGGATCCTCCAGTGTCCCAAAATACTTACTGGTTTCCGATCAGGGGGATCAGATGTCAGTGACACCAATCCATCAAAAATGAAAGGTTCAAAACAAGGGTCAGGAATCTTATCACCACAATCAAGGACCTCATTGCGGGACTCTGTTGGAAATTTGACTGTGTTTTTCAAGCTTGGCCACCTTCTGTTTATTCAAATACAAAACAACATGCTCAGGGATGCAGTTTTCAAAGTCTTCCAGAAGCATTAATTCACATAGGGAGTCATAATCATTGGCTTTTGATGCAAGACACCACTTATCAAAGATGATTCCCTTCTCTCTGGCAAATCCCAAATAAGTTTGATCACAAGGTT